TTATTAAAATTATTTTATTTATTTATTAATAATAAATTATATTTATATAGCGCTTTTCAGGAACTCAAAGACGCTTTCGGAGTCACGGAGATCTTGGGGGAGGGAGTTCCAGAGCCTAGGAGCTGCCACTGAGAAGGCTCTGTCCCCAAAGCTGCAGAGTGTGGATGTGGGAATGGATAGGAGTCCGTCTGCGGTGGATCTGAGGGCCCGTGGGGGTTGATAGGGGTGAGAAGGTTTGTGAGATAAGGGGGGGGCAGATGGTGGAGTGCTTTGTAGGTGGGGACCAGAATGTTGTAGTTGATGCGATGGGAGACAGGAAGCCAGTGGAGGTCTTTGAGGACTGGGGTGATGTGATGCTTGGTATGCGTGAGGAGACGTGCAGCTGCATTTTGAACCCGTTGGAGTCTGGTGAGGGATGTAGTGCTGATGCCGTAAAGAAGTGAGTTGCAGTAGTCGAGGCGGGAGGAAATGAAGGCATGGATTAGTCGTTCGGCTGCGGGGCGGGTGAGAGAGGGTAGGATTTTTTGCAATATTGCGGAGGTGGAAAAATGAGGTTTTGACTGTTTGGCGGATGTGAGGTTCGAGGGAGAGGGTGGGGTCAAAGATTACGCCAAGGTTGCGTGCCTGATTGGAGGGGGAAACAATGGTGCCATCGATGGTGAGTGTGATGCTAGTGACCTTGCTGAGGGTGGATTTGGAGCTGATTAGGAGGAGTTCTGTTTTGTTGCTGTTCAGTTTGAGGAGGTTATGTTACATCCAAGTTTTAATAGCTGTCAGACAGGAATCGATGTGGGTAAGGGGGGGGTTATGGAGGGGTTTGGTGCTGAGGTAGATCTGAGTGTCATCAGCATAGCAGTGGAAGTCCAGGTTGAAGTGGATGATGATGATGATGAGTTACTGTAGTTGAATGGAGCCAGTTGGGGACAGGGAGACACTGGGAGACACTGGGAGACACTGGGAGACGCTGGGAGACACTGGGAGACACTGGGTACACACCAGTACAGTACTGTTAGTATAAAGTATCTGTCTCTGATACAAAGCAAGGTAAACATTGAAAGTAGATGTAAATACTGAATATCTTTACCGAACAAACAGAAGCTGAAGTTGTTCCTCCTCTGCTTTGCTGGATAATATTCTGCATAGTTCAGGATCATAAATGTTGGACGACTGTCTCTGTCTCAGAGTCAGTCATCTCATAACTGTAGGTTAGCTACGTTAGCTAGCTAGCTTACAGCAGATCTGCAGTGACATCAGGAGTCATGTGATCATGTTGTTAAAATAAGATAGAGCTGTGTGCGTCACTCTTTAGTGTCCCCTGGTCTCCAGCTGTGTGCGTCACTCTTTAGTGTCCCCTGGTCTCCGTTGTGTTTTGAACTTCTGCATGCCATGTTTCCTCAAGACATTCTAAAAATGTTGACTTAATATTGAAATTCTAAAAATTCAACAAGAAAATCTGAACATTTTCTGAAAATCCCCCCAAAACATGTTGGGATATAATCTCTGTATGTTTCCTCGCCCCGGTGCACGGAGGCTTCTGTAAAAAACAAGATCACATGTGGACGTTTTTTTCTCCCCTGCAGCTCCCTCGGTCCCCCCCGAGGAGGAGGCGGAGCTAGCGAAGGAGGCGGAGCTTGTGGCAGTGACACGTCAGCTGGTGGCAGAGCGTTTCTCTGGTAACCCCGCCTACCAGCTGCTGAAGGCGCGCTTCCTGTCCTGCTTCACTGTGCCCGCCCTCCTCGCCAGCCTGCAGCCAATCAGAAAGAAGACTGTGCCAGAGGAGGAGGAGGAGGAAGAGGAGGAGGAGGAGGAAGAGGAGGTAGAGGAGGTGTTGAAGAGGATCAAAGGAAGAAAGAGGAGAGGAAGGGTGAGTCTCTGAAACCATCGTGTACAATCGTTAGAGAGAGGGGTCAAAGGGCATGGGAAAATATCACCGACACAAATTAGTTTTAACGACGTTATAGACCTAAAGTAAAGCTAACCGAGCTAAAATATAAACTAGCTAAAAGATAATCAGGCTAAAAGCTAACCGAGCTAAACGCTAACCGAGCTAAAAGCTAACCGAGCTAAAAGATAACCGAGCTAAAAGCTAACCGAGCTAAAAGATAACCGAGCTAAAAGATAACCTAGCTCGATCAATCAATCAATCAATCAATCAATCAATGTTTATTTATATAGCCCAATATCCCAAATGTTACATTTGTCTCAGTGGACTTCACAGTTTGTACAGAATATCAGTATGACAATACGACACCCTCTGTCCTTAGACCCTCTGTCCTCAGACCCTCTGTCCTTAGACCCTCTGTCCTAGACCCTCACATGGTACAAGGAAACACTTCCAGAGAAAACCCACAGTTTAAAGGGGAACATGGGAGAAACCTCAGGGAGAGCAACAGAGGAGGGATCCCTCTCCCAGGACGGACAGACGTGCAATAGATGCCGTGTGTAAATCCAAGAGATAATACATTTACAGCATAGGTAGACCAAATGTTTGGAAATGCATGTGTCTGTAATAAGAAGATGAATCCACGAGGATGTCAGCAATCCTGTGGGAGCCATCAGGGAAGTAGTATGATGAGAGTCAGACAGGACCGCAGTGACAGGTTCAGCCACGACTCAGGATCCAGGACTCAGGATCCAGGACTCAGGATAGAGGATCCAGGACTCAGGATAGAGGATCCAGGACACACGACTAGGGATGGGTATCGTTAAAGTTTTAACTGTACTACTACTTTTATCGATACCGCTTATCGGTTCTTTTGGAGAGAAGAAATAAGGCAAACTAACTAAACAAATTGTGAACAAAACTAACATTGTTTTTTATTTAAATTAAATAAATAATATTTCGCATCAAAAGAAACAACAATGTTTTAACAAATCATATTAAATAATGTGATGACAGAACTGTGAACAGAATAGCTGAAACTTTAACAAACTAAATAACTCAGTTTCCTCTAATCATTAACGTATGTTTGTATAACTGAGTTAACTCTGTGTGTTGCTGCTAGCCTACATAACACCTGACGGGGAAACGTTACTCGTGGATGGGGCTACAGAGCTTCTAGAAAGACAGTGGAACCCGGTGCATTCCTCCGTCTGAATGTGGAGCACTTTGATAAATGTTTAGACAAACTGCTCGTGTTACCGCCCTTACATAAACTCTTATTGCACTTTAGACAACGAGCATCGAGACGGGTGAAGTTTAACCACACCTCGGAGCGCCTTCTCTCCGCCATCTCCTCCATGTGTGTGTTGCTGCATGTAGCAGAGCGTGTGTGTAAACTGCCCCGCCCCCTCGCACGCAGACGGGAGAGAGATCGAAAATACTAAAACTAATCATAGACGCATTTTGCAGTCTTTTTACATATTAGAATCGGAGTTGGCGACACTAAAACTGCAATATAATGTTTGTGTAGCAATAATACACATATTTAACATGTCTCTCTCCAGTACCGATAAAAAGACCGCTAACGTCGGAGCTTAACGGTACCATGGTCTTCAATAATTCAGCCTCGGGGCCCGTTTAATACCGGGGCTCAGTACCCATCCCTACACCGGACCACAGCAACAGGATCAGCCACGACTCAGGGTCCCGCCGTATATAGACACCAAAAAGAGATTTGGGGGAAGCTGGGTTAATGGGAACATGAGAGTGCACAGGTACAGACAGACAGAAGGAAGAAGTAAGATGTCCCCCCCCCGACAGTCTAAGCCTATGGCAGCTAAACTAACGTGTCTACGTACATGCACTCCCTTAGGATAGGTTGAGGGGAAGGGCTAGCAAGTAAGAAGTAAGGAACAGAGGTGGAGAGGCACAACGTGTCTACATACATGCATAGGTTGAGGCTAAAAGCTAACCGAGCTAAAAGCTAACCAGGCTAAAAGCTAACCTAACTAAAAGCTAACCAGGCTAAAAGCTAACCAAGCTTAAAGCTAACCAGGCTAAAAGCTAACCTAGCTAAAAGCTAACCAGGCTAAAAGCTAACCAGGCTAAAATATAACCGAGCTAAAAGCCAACCTGGCTAAAAGCTAACCGGGCTAAAAGCTAACCTGGCTAGAAGCTAACCAGGCTAAAAGCTAACCTAGCTAAAAGCTAACCAGGTTAAAAGCTGATTTATTCCCTGTATTCACACTGTGTATTCCTGTGTACTCCTATTTGTTCCCGCAGAGATCTGTCCTGCTGGAAGACGGGCCTGGAGCTCCAGCCAATCACTTCTCAGGGATCCAGACCAATCCAGACCTTCAGGACACTGTCCACTGAGACCTCACAGATACAGTCTCCTCACAGGACTCTGTCCACTGAGACAATGGTGTGTTCAGGAACATCAGGAAAAAATGTGAAAAATGCACCGTCTGTGGTGTTTGTTTTTTTGTTGTTCAAGTTTTATACAGTTTTCTGTAAATTAAAAGTTATATTGAGAAGATTGTTCTGTAATAAAGACGTTTATGTGAAATAAAATTGTCTGTTTGTCTGAGACCTGGACATGAGGGTCATGGTTTGTGGGGACATGGTGGTTTGTGGGAACATGGTTTGGGGACATGGTTTGTGGGGACATGGTGGTTTGTGGGGACATGGTGGTATGTGGGGACATGGTGGTTAGTGGGGACATGCTGGTTTGTGGGGACATGGTGGTTTGTGGGGACATGGTGGTTCGTGGTGACATGGTTTATGTTTTTGGTAAAGCTCTTAACTTCCTGTTTGTTTCACTTCCTCTTTAACAGATTTCCAGGAATTTGAGTGCTGTGACATCACTTCCTGTTTCACTGACTTCTTCTTCTCTTCTTCCTCTTTCCAATCTCTGCTGAAAGGATACGATCCTAAAACATGACTTATTAAAACTTTAAAACTAACCTATTATATTTTATATGAAACTAGATTTAATACGTAAGTTAGACTGAAGAAGATACTTCATAAGTACTTCATTATATTTCTGTAGTATTCAGTGTTGATACCCAACAGGGAAGATCACCAGTTTAAATATGTTAATGAGGAGGAGCCGCTGCAACCTGATTGGTCCATTCTGAGTCTGAGGGGGCAGATCAAAAAACAGGAAGTGACAGAAAGGGCTTCTTCCTCAGAAATCACAGGAGAAGACAGAAGCGCCGGAGGACTGAAGGTGAGACAGATTTTAGAGGAGCGACACGATGAATTTATATCTGATGTTTGTTGTTGATTGATTGATTGATTGATTGATTGATTAGAGTAATGAGTGGAACCTGAGTCCAGGTGTTTGTTAGTGGTCCTGGATGCGGGGTTTAGCAGCTGGTCTTAGAGAGTCTGGAGAGTTTTTCTGTTCTTTGGTTTGAATGGCACGGACTGATAATAATAACACATTCATTTTGTAAGCGCTTTTACAGGTGCTCAAAGTCGCTTTACAGAGGTAATCCAAAAGGACTACCTGAAACTGGATATCTGAGAGTTATCTAAACTAACCCTGGATATCTGAGTTATCTAAACTAACCCTGGATATCTGAGAGTTATCTAAACTAACCCTGGATATCTGAGTTATCTAAACTAACCCTGGATATCTGAGTTATCTAAACTAACCCTGGATATCTGAGTTATCTAAACTAACCCTGGATATCTGAGTTATCTAAACTAACCCTGGATATCTGAGTTATCTAAACTAACCCTGGATATCTGAGTCATCTAAACTAACCCTGGATATCTGAGTTATCTAAACTAACCCTGGATATCTGAGTTATCTAAACTAACCCTGGATATCTGAGTCATCTAAACTAACCCTGGATATCTGAGTTATCTAAACTAACCCTGGATATCTGAGTTATCTAAACTAACCCTGGATATCTGAGAGTTATCTAAACTAACCCTGGATATCTGAGTTATCTAAACTAACCCTGGATATCTGAGTTATCTAAACTAACCCTGGATATCTGAGAGTTATCTAAACTAACCCTGGATATCTGAGTTATCTAAACTAACCCTGGATATCTGAGTTATCTAAACTAACCCTGGATATCTGAGAGTTATCTAAACTAACCCTGGATATCTGAGTTATCTAAACTAACCCTGGATATCTGAGTTATCTA